ATTCCTATTTCCACTATTGACTCCTACTATCTTCCAGGATCCAGTTTCCTCAGGGTCACCCCCTGGCACTCAGACACTCAACCCCGTCATCTTCTGAGAGAGCCAGGAGTCCAAAGCTCCACTTCTCTATCTCTGATACCCCTTGCCTTCAAGCCTTGGGACATCCCATCCCAATTGGAGCCCTCCGCACCTCTCATTTTAACCTCCTCTCCCTGATGCCAGAGAGCCACCAAGGCAACAACAGGACTGGGGGCACCTGGGGGCTTCAGGCCGGCCAGCGGATGTGAGGAGGTTGAAGCACGCGGACGGGAGTGAGAACTCCAGGGTTAACGGGGGCCGGCAATCACTCACATTTTGATGAGCGGCGCCCCATGTGTTCGTTGTCCACAGTGTCACTCGTCCATTCCACCTTTTTCTCTGGCTTCCGTTTCCGCAGTTTGATGGTCAGGCTCCGGTTCTCCTAGGTTGACAGAGATGGGCATAGCGTGTAGTTCCCTCCTGTGGACCGGGACCGTCCCACTCCCTCCCGGGGCCTCCTGAGTGTCAGACAGCACCGGAAGAACTGAGTGGTGGGAGATGAGCAAGAACAGGCCTCTGACTCCCTCGGGGACCATGAAGTAGTACTTCCTGTTCTTGGTAACCACGAGCACACAAGGAAGTCACAATTCCTAACCCAGAGAAGGTCCCAGAAAATCCTCAAAGGAAAATAGAACCCTCACTGTTTCTCCATTTTCTCCCCCAACTTATCCTTGGTGGTATTTAGTTTCTCAGTCTCAAAGCCTCATCTATGATCTCTTTTTTCAGAGCCCAGCCCTCCTTACCTCTTAGTCACCTATTCCCTAGCATCCTGGAATCTCTGGTAACCATTATTCTAAACTCCCTTAATCCAAGTGTTATTAGCCCAATACAACCTTCTCCCTTTGAAAACAACCTAACCTGTTTTTGCAAAAATGCCACCTTTTTCTCTATTTACATCTCCTCTGATTTTTCAAAATATTATCTTCATTTCCTTTTCTGTTGTTCCCTCCTTCTCTCTGCTTCCTTTTACATGCACCCCTTCGACAAATACTTATTGGTATGCATGCTTCCGAGTTCCCCGCAGCTGGCCTCCAACCATGCTTTCTGACTCGGCCTTCTTTCCCCGCACCTCCCGCGCTCCTCAGCCCTCAGCCCCCGCTCTTCCTTACACCACCGCCACCCCAGCAGCACCCCTACATCCTAACATGCCACTTGACCCACCTGCACCATCCCTGCCACTACCAATACCCCAAGTCCGGGCGATTCTCCCAACCCCACTCCTCCCTTATGCCCCGGCCCAGGCCCTCCAGCAACTCTCCAGAGCCCTATCCCCGCCCTCCCGGTACCTCCCAGACCCCTAAACAGCACCGCCCCCCGCCTTTCTCACGGGCTCGGTTGTCACGGTAACCGTTGTCTCAGTGACGGTCTCACTCAGCCCGGGCCCCGCCTCGGCCATGGCTCAGGCTGAGGGGAGGAGGGGAGACACCCTTCCCTTGCTCCGCGTCTCCGGGACCTAAGAGGATCGGTATCGGACTCAGAGTGGCAGCCAGGACCCTCCACCTCTTTTCCCCTCCTCCTGGGCCTCCGCTTCCCCACCCCTAGGGACAGCCTGTGCAGCCCCACTTCCGGCCCCCGGCTTCCGGGTGTGACGCCGCCGGTGGTCCCGCCCGGCACCGACTGCACGCAGCGCAGGCGCGGCCGGAGCGGCGCTGCCGTCGCGTCGCAGTGCGCAGGCGCCGCGCGGACCCGCGTGGGGAGGAGTCGTGGAGGGCGCCGCGGGGCAGTCAAGGGCGGCCGCGCGCAGGTCAGGTAGGAGGGCGGTGCGGAGGGGCCGCCTCCATCCCTGGGTGGGTGGGCGGGGCACTAAGGAGCAAAGGTAATGGCCCATTCTGTTTCCTTATTGTTTGGTATGGGAATTACAGAAAGGGGACCTAGGAGCAGTGGGAACACACGTAAGAATCTGGGTTCCAGCGCTGGCCGGTATACTCAGTGGTTCGATTCCCATACCTGCGTAGCAGGTTGGTCCCGCCAGTCTCGGGGCATGCGGGAGGCAGCCAGTAGATGTGTCTCTCACATGGATGTTCCTTTCTCTCTCTCCCCCTCCTTCCGCGCCCTTCCACTCTCTAAAAATCAATGGAAAAAATAGGGTGTGTTTCACAGACATGAGCAGAACAAGGATGATGGACCAGGTACAGAAACTCGCCACAGCACAAAGCCCCAGATGCCTGCAAGGGGCAAAACTGGGAACACAGAACCTTGTCCCCAGGGCAACCTCCCTCCCTAGCACCTGTACCAAGTGCACACTGGTCTCCCTCACTGGTCATGCTGTTTGGACCCTGACCTTTTCCTCCCTAAAGATAACATCAGTTGTATTTCAGCTCCAGGCCCAGAAAAGCAGCAAAACCAGACAAGTGACAAGTGGCTGCCTCAGGACCAGCTGCAGTGACTGATGACCCCCTGCCCTGGCCCTGACCAGTCAGTGGAGATCATGGCCCTGAAAAAGCTCCCCTGGAAAGCTGATGGATATTCTATTGAGACCCTCTCCTGAGAGCTCCCCTAAGATTCCCACCTGCAAGATAGAAGTACAGGAGGATGAAGGACCCATCCCATTGAGAACTCTCCTCCCCGGAGCATGCCAGGGCCTTTCCCTTGCCCCTACTTCCCGCTAAGGCAGTGGTTCTCAACCTTCCTAATGCCGAGACCCTTTAATACAGTCCCTCATGTTGTGGTGACCCCCAACCATAAAATTATTTTCGTTGCTACTTCATAACTAATTTTGCTACTGTTATGAATCGTAATGTAAATATCTGATATGCAGGATGTATTTTCATTGTTACAAATTGAACATAATTAAAGCCTGGTGATTAATCACAAAAACAATATGTAATTATATGTTTTCTGATGGTCTTAGGTGACCCTGTGAAAGGGTGGTTCGACCCCCAAAGGGGTCACGACCCACAGGTAGAGAGCTGCTGCTCTAAGGGACCGTGAGACTTGCAACCAGGGGAGCAATGGCGAGTATAGCTTGTCCCAGGCTCACTCCCTGGACCTGTCTCCAAGGCCCCCTTTTCTCTGACTTTTCAGTGACCCAGAACAGCCCCACCTAGGCTCTCCTGTTACTTTTTCTATGCATCTTACTTGTTTCACTGCCCTTAGTATATTTTTGCTGACATCATCAACCAGTGCTGTGTAGCCCTTCCCTTTGGATAGCCCCATCCCCTTTTCTTTAAATAAATTCAAAAATTCTTTTATTGCAAGGACTTGAGATTGCTATTTAGCCTGCCCATGCACCACCTTTTTTTTTAAATTTTTTAAATATATATTTTATTGATTTTTTTTACAGAGAGGAAAGAAGAGGGATAGAGAGTTAGAAACATCGATGAGAGAGAAACATCTATCAGCTGCCTCTTGCACACCCGCTACTGGGGATGTACCCGCAACCAAGGTACATGCCCTTGACTGAAATCGAACCTGGGACCCTTCGGTCTGCAGGCCGACGCTCTAGCCACTGAGCCAAACCGGTTAGGGCGCACCACCAACTTTAACCATTCAGTGAGGATTAACAAAAAAAGAAAAACAAAGAGAACCTGGGTTCTAGGACCTGTCCTCTGCTGATAAGTGTCCAAGCAGGGCATGCATGCACGTTCGGCTGGCACACTTTCCCTGTGATTGCACTAGGCCTTGGAGATGGAGGTGCATGAAGCACTGTGATCCTGCCTTTTAGCTCCCAGACTAGTGGGAGAGATTGGCATGCTTAGCAATAACAAAAATAGAAGACATTGGGATATTAATGCATATGCAAATCTCATCTGTGAAGAATTTAGCTGTATATAGCTAACATGTTCCTCTGGAGAACAATTCATGCTATGATAAAAATATGTGCTTAGGGAGCAAGAGTGGTGAAAAGGGAACACAAGGCAGACAAAGGGATGCGTGGGGATTTTTTAGGTGCAAAGAGCAGCTTATAGAGACAGATGTGTACTGAAGGACATGCAGCTGGGATGTACAAAGGTGGGATGTAAGGGGAGTGCCAACGAGGCTTGGCAGGTAGGCTGTTATACGGGAGGCCTGTATGCTTTGCTAAGAAACTTGGACTTTATCCAGTCAGTATGGGTCAAGGAAAGGCTTAGGGTAGGGTAGAAACGTGAACAGATTTCAGATTTCAGGAGGCAAGGAAGTCAACTGCCAGAACAGTTCAAACGTACAATGCAGAAGACTGCCCTGCCCATCCCTCACAGTTGCTGAGGGGGTCAAACAAGATAACGGTATGTTTGAGAGCCCTGAACATACAAAAGGTCACACAATTACAAGATAATCACTATTACTTTCACCCCTTGATCACCATTTAAGCCAAAGAACCAAGGAATGCAGGAATACTGATTCTCAGACTACAGTTTGAATGTTTATTGTGCCTAGACTGTGTATTTTTTTCCCTTTAAAGTTTATGGTCCAATCTGAAAAAAGCAAGGTACACTCAGTATGTACAGCATAACCCAGTAAGAAAACAAGTATCTCTGTGGATTAGGATTCCTTGTCGTCTTTACTTTTTTCTATCTATCTATCAACCTATTACAATATATATTATATTTATCTCAAGAACAGTAAAAAAACAATTCCCAAAATGTTCACCTGTAGTAAGTGCACACTGGTATCCCTTAGTATCAGATTTTTTGTTGTGCAAACTTACATAGCAAATAGATCTTGTTAAATTTTCTGTTGACTCTCTCACTATCCAAACCCCACTTTTTGTTTCCCTAAACTCAGGAACCAAATAGATTTAGGTAGTGAGAAAATACTTATAATTGCTTTTTTTATATTAGCCTCATTGCTGGCTTCAATTTTTTGGCTTTTTCTTTTTCTTTCTCATCTACTAATGTATACTCTTTTTATAGATGATATATTTGTTAAAAGAACAAACATATCTCTATGAACTCATTTGAATTCCATTTGGAACAAAACAGATTATAGATAACACACACATATTTGGGTCTTATTGAAAAACATAGCTTTAATAGGAAAACTCAACTAGGAATAGGAGCAACTTGGGGACAACAGTACTCCTCACATGGTGATGTGCTTCTCGGGGAGCAAATACTGCAACCAGGGGATGGACAAGGATCTAGGAACCAATATCCTTCACCTCCCAAGGAAGAGGAGGGGGGAGGGATTGTTGAGTTGCCCAGAAATAAAAGGAAAATCAAGAGTCTTCCTTCTCCTGGAACCTATGGAGAAAGAAAGGATTTCTTTGTTATATTGGATTGAAGGAAGAGGTTCTAGCAGTGTAAGATGACATACTCAAATAATCAAGGAAGGGCTTTTATTTATGAAACTGTGGAAAGCTAGCTCCCATAAATGGTCCTCTAACTTCAAGCCAACTAAAAATGCTGGGATTGAAAATACATTGAAAGAATTATGACCAAGAAGTATGCAGATATTTCTTGGAATGCGAAAAGCACTAGCCATGAAAGAAAAAAAAAAGGATAAACTGGACCTCATAAAAATTTAAAACTTCTGTTCATTATACTCTCAAAAGATATATCTAACAATCAATATTTTTAATCCATTGATGAGATGGCAAGAAAATGCAATTCATATTGGGTAAATGATGTAAAACCAGAAAACTAAACAGGTAAGTGAAAACTGAAACCCCTGCTACCATGGTCCTCTTGCTGTTTTGACAGCCATATGAAGGAATCTTGGACAGAACTACAATGTATGATTGGAGGTACTGGGCATACATTTGGGACCCCCAGGGGGCTACCCCTCTGTGTAAAAGTAAACAAAATCTAACTCTGCAGAAGGAGAATTTTGTGTCACTAGGTAGAGGAAGTAAAATCTCTGAGGTCTTCTAACCATAGCTGGCCCTTGCATGGACTTGCAGTCCCAATTCATACTACCTCTATAGTTGAGAACAACCTGGAACCAAGTGTAAAGTGATTCTGGCTTGTGCCTCAAGGGACCTGAACAGGAACCACAAATGCTGAGGATAGAGCATTCATCCCATGCTTCAAAGAATTCCCATAGTTCAAATTCTAAAAAACTGAATTTTATAAAACAAAGAAAATTATATCAAAAATAATAGCTGAAATAAGCTGAAGACAGAATTAGTGACCTAGGAGAAACCTGAAGAAATTACCCAGAAGCAGCATAGAGAGAAAGAGATAGAAAGTATGAAAAACAAGGGTGAGAGAAATGAAGGATAGACAGTCTAATAAACAACTAATTAATTAGAGTTCCAGCATGTGAGAATTGAGAACATAGGGAAAAGCAATATTCAATAAGATAATGGCTGATAATTTTACAAGGTTGATGGGGAAAAGAGAAAAATCAATCCTCAATGTTGAAAAGTTCAACAAATCCCAAACAAGATTTTTAAAAGCCACATTTTGCAACACTGCAGTATGACTGCGGAGCGCCAGAGACAAGAGGAGCTCTTAAAGCCACCAGCGAGCCTGCTCTTTAACTCACACACCATCTCAGGAAAGCAGAACTGCCTTGGTGCAGTGGGAGACGCCAACATCACTGCTGACCACTGAGCATACTTGCCTTCTGTATTTTTCATTTCCTCTTAAATATGTTAAAAGGTTTAGTTCATTGGCATTAAAAGGATAAGAAAAGCCCTAACTGGTTTGGCTCAGTGGATAGAGCCTCGGCCTGCAGAATGAAGGGTCCCAGGTTTGATTCCAGTCAAGGGCATGTATCTTGGTTGCGGGCACATCCCAGTAGGGGGTGTGCACGAGGCAGCTGATGGATGTTTCTAACTGTCTATACCTCTCCTTTCCTCTCTGTAAAACATCAATACAAAAATATATTTTTTAAAAAAGTGTAATTTTTAAAAATAAAACGACCACAAATCTTCCTACTACCAGAACTGTACAAAAAATGGATGGGACCAAAAGAAGTAATTGTTTATTCAGGACAAAAAGTAAACCTGTGGAGCTGCTTAGTTAGCAAACAGCCTGAGAACGGGCAGCGGCCAGGCGGGCATACGCACTTGCAGCGGGTGCAGGTGTAGAAGACGGTCTGGCCCTCGTCGGCGGAGCGCATCTGCCGGGTGCGGTAAGCCATCCCCTCGTGACCGCAGCGGGCGCAGCGCCTGTCCACCTGGAAGCCACGGCGGGTGAGGGGCCTCGCAGCCCCTACGGCTCCCCCTGGGCACTGCTGCTCCCCAGGCCCCTCTTTTGTGTGGGGATCGGGCACAAAACTCTCCAGCTCGTGGCAACCGCCCTCCGTGTCAGTCGTGCCCGCCCTGCGGGGCCCGTCCTTGACGTCATCCACTCACCACTGGCCCCTGGAGCTCGGGGCCGGCCTCCATCGACACGGGCGTGGCTGTGCCCAGCTTGTGGAACACGACTGCGGTCCTCACCACCTTCCCCTCCAAGTCTGCGCAGAGCGAGCACGGGTCGGGCCGACGCACGGGGAGCCCTCCCGGGGAACCTGGCGGCCCGCCTCCCTTCCCCTCAGGTTGCGCCCCGAGACCAAATCTCGTGCCTGACCTCCTGCCTCCGACCCCTGCCCGCCGGGGCCTCAGCCGGGACCCTGCCTAGGAGCCCTCACCTCGCACGTGGATGGAGAAGCCGCAGCGGGTACAGGTGACTGCATCCTGAGTGCCTGGCAGAGGCAGGACTGAGCCGCAATCCGGACAGAAATCCAGATCCGACTGGAAGCTGGAGCCGTTGCCGGCGAGGTCCATGATGGACGGTGGGCGAAGGCTGCGAAGGGAGGAGAAGGTTATGAACAAAAGACAGAGAGCGCTCTTTCCCACGCAGGGGCCATTCTCATGCTGTGCCTGGATCTCCGCCAACCGAACCCGAGCCCCCTCCCACGCGTGTGTCGTGCCTCTGCGACCGCGGAGCCCGAGCGCGGCTCCCGCGGGGCTTGCGGGCTTCCCGGGGCCAGCGAAAGAGCCGCCGACGCCGCGGGCTAGAGCGTCCGCTGGCGCGGGCGGCGGGGCAGCGAGCACGTGGCGGGCTAGAGCGTCCGCTGGCGCGGGCGGCGGGGCAGCGAGAAGCGGCGGCTAGAGCATCGCCGCTGCCGGCTCCCGATTGGCTGTGACGTCATACCCGCCAGGCGGTCTCGGGACCCGCGGAGTGGAAGCTCCGGGAAAGGAGTGCGATTTCTCAGCCTGGTTCTGCGACTTCGGCTGAGAAAGCGGGTAATGGATGCGCCGCCGCTGCTTTTCCTCTTCGGACCCAAACCTCGGATGTTTATTTTCTTGGTCTCGCGTCTTACGGGGGACCCAGTGCGGGGGCGCGGTCCCTCCGAAAATCCTTGTAACTTTACCGAATTTCTTAAGGATAGAGAACTGCAACTCCCGCCCTTCTTGAGCCGAGCCGGTATTTCCCGTTTGCGGCTGCGCGGTGAGTAGAACAAACAAAGCTAAGCGTTTGGGGAGTTAGAGTTTTAGCGCCCGTGGGCCTCGCGGGCCGTACGAGCGTTCTGTGGAGCCCCGCCTGGGCGGTTGGGGCTCTTCCCGGCCTCCGGGAAGGGTGAGTCGGCTTCTGCAGAGGCGGCGAGCGGGGAGGCGGGAGGGCGAAAGGGGAGGAGGAGTGCTCGGTCCCCGGGAATGGAAGGAAGCGGGGTGCCCGGAGCTCGGCCCGGCACTGGGCAGTGGCGAGACCAGAGGCTGACCACCCCGCCTGAGACGCTAGCACCAGGCAAGGGGCAGCCGGGGTAGGATTGCACCGAGACGTAGGTCAAGTTTGTGTTCATTTGCACACCTGCCTCCGTTTACCGCGCCCCTCGCCTCCCGTCCAACCAACTCTGTCTAAATCCTCATCATCCATTAGGTGGACAGTTGACGTTTCCCAAATCTTTTCTAAAACCTGAGAACAAATAGTTTTAGAAAATCTTGCTACTTGCAGTCATCCGTTAAGTGCAATCTAAAATAGAAACTTGTCCTGAAGTTTCTTAGTTCCCTCTGGCCCTTGCATCCCCACCCAACCGGGGAGCTGTGTTAAGCTCTCGGTATAAAAGTCCTGGAGCCATCACTCTTTTCTCCTCTGAAAGAGACGAGCTGTGGCCTCTTCTTGAAGAGGCGCTGGCCTTCCTCTCTCTGCTGTGAGGGAAAGACAGGAGTGAGGGGTTAAGACTGAGCAGGCCACCAGACGTCATTTCACCTACCTGCGTGTCGTGTTTCCTGTCTTACAAAGCAGGTTTGTTGCTGAACCCATGATGGTAGGCAATTTCTATTCTCACTTCTCTCTGTGTGTTTCTTTGAAAATGGAAATTGAAATTAGTGCTCTTCCCTCATCAACTTTCCCTTTTCTTTTTTAAATATATATTTTTATTGATTTCAGAGAGGAAGGGAGAGAGAGAAACATCAGTGATGAGAAAGAATCATTGATCTGCTGCCTCCTGCACACTCCCTATTTTGCCTTGACTGGAATTGAACCTGGGACCCTTCAGTCCGCAGGCTGACACTCTATCCACTGAGCCAAACCAACCAGGGCAACTTTTCCTTTTCATTGGAGGTCCACCATGGGTGGAATACTGTCCTAATGCAATAAAGGAACACGAGTGGATAAGGCATGGCCTTTTTCCAATGGAAGCTCACAATCTGTTCAGTTAGTATTTATTTAGCACCTTTGCCAGTCTTTGAGCTGAGGAGGTTGGGCTGCAAAGTTGAAAACTCTGTTCTCTGACCTTAAAAAGTGCAAATGAATAATTAAAATACAATGAAAGTATACTGGTAGGACAAAATGTGAGAACCCAGGATGGGCATATAACACAAATATGCCTGTATACTTCAAGAAAGACTGGTAAATGTTTTAATAAAAAGTAGATACAGTATTATGGGGAACATAAGAGAGAAAGATGCTCAGATATTATATAATACGTATAATCAATCAACAAGTCATTAATTATGAGAACTTGGGATCACGGACTAATGTTAAGTACTGTGCTAGATGCTATATACTAAATAAAAGATGGTCATTTTTTAAATCTCAAAATAGATTCACATAGTAAGAGAAATATGAATGTACCTAAGAGGTCAGTGAAGTCCAATATTTGATATCAAGATCCTTTCTGATAATATGGACACATCACTGTCGTTGTAGATATAATTCCCACCCTTGATGAGTCTGAATTTCAGTCCATTTTTACAGTGATACATGAATACAGATACCATAACGTAAACCATGATTGATTTTCAAATGAGTTGTCAAAGTAAAAATGGTAAGTGTTGAGAAGAAGGCAAAATCACTGTTACATAGAGCAAGGCAGAAAGGCTTTCTAGAGAATTAGGGGCCTGACTGTGGAGGGTAGGCACCTGGTATTTAATGGAGAACTTGTCACATCAGGCATCATGCCAAGCTCTGTCATCTAGTTCACATTTGTTCTTTCTGATCTCAAGAGGCAGCTTTTTATCTTGTATCTGTCTATAGATGGGGAAGCTGATGTTGAGAGAGATGACGTTGCTTGCCTGTGTCACACACACAGCCCTGTCAGGCTTCAGAGCCCATGCTCGTAACCATCAGTAATATTCTTAAAAAGCGCTTAGAGATGAGATGTCAGGCATCTTCAATGGCTTAAATGTGACCTCACAGTAAGCTTCGATGAGGCCAAGGCTGGCATAGGAAACTGGCAGTCACAGTTGTGTTGCCATCAGGCTGTCCTGTAAGTAAACCAGAGTCAACACAGATTCCCATCATAAGGGGCACACAGGTAATGGTGTCATAATGGATTTAAGGTGAAGGATGAATGCCAGTATAAGGAAGAACAGAATTTCAGAACAAAAGATTAGAGGGCAGAGATGCTGTATTTGCTGATAGAGGCAGAGAGGGCCAGAATCAAGAAACTGCAGAATGAGAATGAACTCCCGCTTCATTCTAGAGTTACCTCAGAAGACAGGGGCTGCTGGGGGGCTGCGCAGTCTGACCTAGATGTGCTTGGGCCACGCTTCACCAAGGAATCTGCCTCTCCCCTCTCCCAGTCCCCGATGCAAGATTCAGAATGGTTTGCATTGAGTCCACAAGAGAAGTATGCTTTTCATTTATAGGAAATGCTCTTATAAAAAGAGCATTCATTTTATTATTGTCCACCCTAGGACCTGGTAGTTTCCAGGGGGGAAATGGCCCTGTGCGTCTTGCCTGTGAGCAGGTTTACTCTTTCTAAGCGGAATATCCTGGCCTCGGCCAGGGCAGTTGGGTTTGGTTTAGTCAGTATGGGAGATACATTCTGACACGCCACATTCTAATCTGCCTGTGCTTTTCTTGTGTTTCAGGTTGGCCTGGGTTAAAGCATCTAGAGACCCTAGGATTGCTTCAGGTCAGCAGTCCCCACTGGAGAAAAAAATATTGGTAAATAAGTTATCTTCACATCATACAGGTTGGAACTACTAAGAGAAAGAACCTTAGGTTTAAAACCTTTCTGCTGAAGTGACACCTCGAGTAGTGTGTATACACTGGCAACTGTTTTCTAGCTATATCCATACTTGAAAAACAAAGTATTATTTTGGAAACTCCCAACACTGTATTTTTAAAAAGCTAGTTATTGATTTTGGTGGTAGGTACTTCAACTTTCAGAGCTCACAGGCTCACCTAGGAATGATGGGAAAAACAAAGTTCTTATACTAAAGTAAATCATAAACCACTCATCTTTTCTTGGTGTCAGTAGTCAGGGTAAACTACTGTTTAAATATGTTCAGTGTAAAACGATGGTCACCCTATACAATTCTGTCCCCCCGATAGAATCTAGGTGGTGTGCGTACAAAAGCAGCCAGACAACTGAGAACTCAGAAAAACCAAGAAGAGTATCAAACACTCTATAGAGAGCAAGATCTCTCCCTTGACTACTGGCTCGCCCGAGTGGAGTCTTACTATAGTAAAGGATTGGTGGGAATGATGAAAGCACAAGAGGCAGGCAATGGGATTGAGAAGAAATGGGAGGGGAAGGCAACCCAAAGCACGGACAGACAGAAACAGTGCTGCTTGGTGCCTGAGAGAGAGATGAGACACATAGCGCGGCAAATGCAGCAGGCGGCACAGGCCAGAGAGCTCACAGAGAAAGCCCTTAGACAGTTACTGTGGTCCCCTCCTGAGCCGGCACTCCCAAAGCTTGTGTGCGCAGGGCCTGGCGTCCAGAATGCACAGAGAAGAAAACAGGTAAATGACAGGGAACAGATGCAAATTAAAGATCACCAGGAACGCATGATTAGAGGGAGGGAACTAATAGAGCAAAGACTCAAGGCAAGATTCTTGAGAAAAAGCCAGAGCCAGCCACCTACAACAGAGAAGCGTGAGAGAATAAAGAAAGAGATAAAAGAATTTGAAAGTGTTATTGCATATCCACTTTTCCAGCCACGCAGAAGTCGGATTAAAGTGAATATTCTTATGGAAAAGTCTCAGAATAGAGAAGAAGAGGATACAATTATAAAAACTTATCAAAGAAAATTTTTAACTCTGCCACCCTTTTTGAGAAGTCAAATAAGAAAAATAAAAGATTAGTCAAGTTTCAATGCTTTTCTGGTAAAATGATGTCTCTTAAATGAACCTTTTTGTTTTTAATGCTAGCTCATCCGTCCCAGAGCTCAGTGAATCACGCTCCAGGGGTGTCAGCTACAGAAGTGCCAGCAAGCTCTGGCCTTGAAAACTAGCCTTGCTATTTTTAGTTCATTCAAGTTGCTTTTTTTTTTTTTTTTTTTAAATATATTTTATTGATTTTCCACAGAGAGGAAGGGAGAGAGACAGAGAGTTAGAAACATCGATGAGAGAGAAACATCGATCAGCCGCCTCCCGCACATTTCCTACTGGGGATATGCCCGCAACCCAGGTACATGCCCTTGACCGGAATCGAACCCGGGACCCTTCAGTCCGCAGGCCGACGCTCTATCCACTGAGCCAAACCGGTTTCGGCTCATTCAAGTTGCTTTTATTCTCTTTGATGTTCAGTTTTTTCATCTGTGAAGTGGGATTAATATTTTACAGTGCTTATGGGTAGATTGTGATTTCTGTGAAGCATTACATATGTTAGATACTTCACAAATGTTAGTTTCCCCAGTGGAGAGACCTGGGTTGGGCAGTGCGGGTGAATAAGGAATTGTACTGATCTGCTTCTCCCATCCCCCTGCTCCCACCCCGGGAGGTTATCTGGGATTGCTAGGGGAAGTGGGGGAGGTTACCTGGGATTGCTGGTGGGAAGTAGGGGAGGTTACCTGGGATTGTTAGGGGAAGTGGGGGAGGTTACCTGGGATTGCTGGTGAGAAGTGGGGGAGGTTACCTGGGATTGCTAGGGGAAGTGGGGGAGGTTACCTGGGATTGCTAGGGGAAGTGGGGGAGGTTACCTGGGATTGTTAGGGGAAGTGGGGGAGGTTACCTGGGATTGCTAGGGGAAGTGGGGGAGGTTACCTGGGATTGCTAGGGGAAGTGGGGGAGGTTACCTGGGATTGCTAGGGCAAGTGTCTGGCCTTACTTCCTGGTCACACCTTTCTCAGGGAAGCAGTAGCCACGCCCTGAGCCTAACTTAACCTTGCAGTTTACTGTAGGAGACACTTACTTTGGAAAATCTCCCTTGTGCCGGTGTTGCTCCTTCCTGGGAGTGAATACAGAGAAGTCTTGCTCTTGGTTACAGCTCCCACTCTCCGCAGATAGTAAGGTGGCAAGGTTCTGGTGGAGGTGCACAGAAGAGGGCCCCTTGCGCAGGGTGAGGAGGGAGACGGAGAAGGGAGTGTTATAGTCTCTCAATTTTCTTCCAGCTCCACATTTTGTCACTTTCTATTCCCCACTTATGCAAGACCTTTCCAGTGTACTATTTGTAAATGATACCATTTAATGCTTTTCTTTTGTCCTATATTCTTTTTTTCTTTTCCGTGTGAAATATAATATACAAATGAAAATGTGCCTGTGCACTTGAAAGGACAGTAAAAGATGTCCAGGTTCCCACAGCTCAGGCCCCAGAGCCTGTGTGCTCCCTCCCCGGCATGCTCCTCGTCCCTGGGGGCACTCACTATTCGGAAGTTTGTAGTAACGTCACCTTTTTGAGTCTTTACCACCTCGGCATGTACAGTTGTCCCTTAATGCAGGGGTTAGGGGTCCTGACCGCCCCCCCCCCCCAAGCTGTTGAACATTTGCATATAACTGTTGACTCCCCAAAAACTTCTAATAGCATATTGTTGACCAAAAGCCTCACCAATAGCATGAACAGTCTATTTACATGTATTTTGTACGTTATCTGTGTTATAAACTCTATTCTTACAATAAAGTAAGCTAAAGAAAAGAAAATGTTATTAAAAGCGTAAGGAAAATACATTTACAGTACTGTATGTATTAATTGAAAAGAAATCCTCATAAAAGTTGACCATGCAGTTCAAAACCGTATTGTTCATGGGCAACTGTATTCCTAACTGACATAATAGCTCATAGTTGCTTGTGCATGGATTTTAATTAATTTTAAATACACTGTATTTGGAGAGACCAAGATGGCATCATAAGTAAACATCGGAGATTGCTGCCTTGTACAACAACTTCAAAAATACAACTAAAAGACAAAACAGACATCATCCAGAACCACAGGAAGGCTGGCTGAGTGGAAATTCTACAATTAGAAGGAAAGCGAAAAGCACACTGAGACTCAGAGGAGGTACGGAAGTAAAGTGCAGAGGTACGGAGGCGCACGTGGAAAGGGCTGGCAACAGAGGACTCGGTTGTCTTTCAATAGGGAGGAAGTCTTGTGGGAAACTGTTTATTGCCTTCACTATCTGATAAGCATAGACAGAGAACTCCCCGAAACCCCCCAAAGGCTGGGTGCCTTTGAAGCCCTAGCAAAGCTCGGAGCTAGGAGCCACCTCTGTTTGTCCAGACAGTGGTAGCTGAAACTACTCCCCCATTTATTATTATGTAAATCCTTGCTGATGGGCTAGTCTGCTTGTTACTAGGGGGTCACCTGCCTAAGGGCTATGCTATGGGTGCATCCCAGATCAATAAAAGCTTGGTGAGGTCTGAGCACGGATGAAGTCCTTCGGGACTTGCCGCCTGGTCCCCCAATATTGCAAAATTATCTCGTGTCTTTTTCTCTCATTTGTTGTGCGGCTCCTCTTTCAGATACCGAACCCTACTCCATGCAGAACGTGGAGGGAGTCTTACTCGACAAAGTCTCAAGCTCCCAACTGCTCTGAACTCCAGTTCTGGACGAGTCTCTGGGGATGCAAACTCATACGGAAAGAAACTGAACTCTCTGGCATTGGGCGGAACTCGAGAGTGGCTTTCTCTCAGAGGTGCTTGCAGCGATTACTGGGACACTGAGACCCGGGGCCTCTTAGGGTAGGACTGAGGATCAGCCATAGCTGCTTGCTCCTCCCTGTTGATCCCTTGAGACTCCGCCCCACCCAAGCTGTGAGCAGAGGCTTTTGCATATGAAAGGCCTGGCCCTTTGCAATGTGAAAATTACCTAACAAACTGCAGCTGGGTCAGAGAGACCCAGAACTTCCAAAAGGAGGCCCAAGGCCCCACATCAGCTTGCATTGCTTCACAGCTGGGCCTCATCTGGGCACCTCCAATTCCCAAACAAAGAAGAGGAATCTGCAGATATCTCCGTAGTTCCTGCTGGGTAGCCTCAGGCAGAGGCTAAATTAGCACCTCCTTAGATCCAAGAGCCAGTGTACCCAGTGGTCAGAGTGGGAACATCCAGATTACAACTCCTCACATCCATAAAGGACACACACAGGAGGCAGACTCAGTGAGCACCAAAGCCCCTCTGAAGCAAGTCTTGCCCCATAAGAGTGTCTCCAGCACAGAAGTTCTCCCACCGTAGACACAGCTGATTCTCACAGACAATTGGCCTGGAGGTCAATTCCTCCCAGTGATACAACAATCAAGGCTTAACTACAACAAGACTGTGCTCAAAGCCCACAAGGGGTGCACCAAGAGTGTCCACCTCAGGTAATTGGGGAGGCTGAGCCACTGGGCCCTATAGGACACCTAGCACACACAGCCACTCTATCAACACAGGGAAGCATAAAAAATGCGGAGACAAAGAAACAGGTCACAAATGACAGAAATGGAGAAAAGCAAATTACTGGATATAGAGTTCAAAACCATGGTTATAAAGTTTGTCAAGAATTTTCTAGAAACTGCCACTAAATTTAGTGAGACCTTCAAGAAATCTAGTGAGACCCTCGAGGTTATGAAAAAGCAACTAGAAATTAAGCATACACTGACTGAAATAAAGAATATTATACAGAGTTCCAATAGCCGACTAGAGGATCTCAAGAATCAAGTCAAAGATTTGAAATACAAAGAAGCAAAAAACACCCAACCGGAAAAACAAAAAGAAAAAAGAATCCAAAAATATGAAGATAGTGTAAGGAGCCTCTGGGACAACTTCAAATGTACCAACATCCGAATTATGGGGGTGCCAGAAGAAGAGAGAGAGCAAGATATTGAAAACCTATTTGAAGGAATAATGACAGAAAACTTCCCCTACCTGGTGAAAGAAATAGACTTCCATGTCCAGGAAGTGCAGAGAACCCCAAACAAAAGGAATCCAAAGAGGACCACACCAAGACACATTATAATTAAAATGCCAAGAGCAAAAGACAAAGAGAGAATCTTAAAAGCAGCAAGAGAAAGAAAGTCAGTTACCTACAAGGGAGTACCCATACGACTGTCAGCTGATTTCTCAACAGAAACTTTGCAGGCCAGAAGGGAGTGGCAAGAAATATTCGAAGTTATGAATACCAAGAGCTTACAACCAAGATTCCTTTACCCAGCAAAGCTATCATTCAGAATTGAAAGTCAGATAAAGAGCTTCACAGATAAGAAAAAGCTAAAGGAGTTCATCACCACCAAACCAGTATTATATGAAATGCTGAAAGGTATCTTTTAAGAAGAGGAAGAAGAAGAAAAAGGTAAAGATACAAATTATGAACAACAAATGCACATCTATCAACGAGTGAATCTAAAAATCAAGTGAATAAATAATCTGATGGGGGAGGGTAAGAGATCAACCGAAGGACTTGTATGCGTGCACATAAGCATAACCAATGGACATAAGACACTGAGGGGTAGGGGAGGCCAGGGGATTGTCAAGGGTGGGGAAAAGAGACATATGTAATACTGTTTGTAATACTTTAAGCAATAAAATAATTTTTAAAAAATCTGAACAGAAACTGGTGAATGTAATAAAATCAGGGGCATAGAAAGGGAGTGGACTGACTGTTCTCGGGGGGGCGGGTAGGGAAAGGGGTTTGGGGGGTGCGGGAAGAGACTGGACAAAAATCGTACACCTATGGATGAGGACAGTGCGAGGGGGTGGGGGTTAGGGCAAAGGGTGGGGTGGGAACCGGGTGGAGGGGAGCTATGGGGGGATAAAAGAGGAACAACTGTAATAATCTGAACAATAAAGATTTAATTTAAAAAAAGAAAAAAAATACACTCTGATTTGCTGTCTTTGTTGTTAACATCTTTTAGTTCATTCTTGTGGATGTGTGGCACTGCAATTCTCTTTCCTCCTCCTCCTCCT